CGAAACATGGGTAACGTAGTCTTCAGGCAAAGTTTAGTAAGTGCAGCATCCTCGGACTCTAATGATAGGCAGGAACCATCTCTATGCAAATTTTATAACGCGATGCATGTGTGACATACTGGCACGGTGATGTCATTGCCAAGCGAGGAAGCAGCGGGGTTTTCGCTAATAGTGGCAGTTTTCTCGCGAACAATGAGCTCATGCGCGGCGCTATCATCGAGGATGAGGCCTTGAGGCATCGTTTCATGTTAATGACTCGAAATTTATGCATCGCTTGTGTGCGAATTTCCTATCCTTCGCCGCAGAGACGTGCCTCAGTGACGTTCGTTTCGGTCGTTTTATGTTTCGGCCAAATTTAACGAGTTGATCCGTGCTTCCGTTAGCTGCGATCCTGAAAAACAACTCACATCATTTCCATGGATTCGCACATTGATTGCTAAAAAGTAAAAAAACATGAAAAAAAGTGTTGGCGTTATGCCCTGAAATTGTGAAACTACCCCAATTCGTTGACTGATACGGGCATTTCCAATTAATTGCGGTAGTATCGCAACTTAAGTTTGGATACTACCGTACCATGTGGATTAGTAACCTGATTCATATTAGGGCACTACTACAATTATTTGGAAATATCCATAGCATCCAACAACCCTTACCTCTTTTTCCAGTGAATAGTTAAGTATTCGCGCCAAAAAAGGTCCATTGCCATGCAAGGCCATTGGTCAGAGGAACTGCTGCACTATTATTAGTGCCCATAGCCGCAAATTCTTGCGTATAATGAACGATACTTCCATCAACTTATAAGAAAAAAGCTTTTGGCTTATTTGAACCTCAAATCTTGCTTCTTTTTCCCGCATAATCGTGCGTTCTTGTAACCGCAGTCTGTCAGCCTTTGGGAGTCCAATATGGTGGCGATTTTTGTAAAGTAGCAACACTGTTTTCTCTCCATTCAAAAGTATGTTAAAAAATCGATTATAGGTCAGGCAGCCTGCTTTACCTAGTGCATCGATATATCCAATGGATTTAAATAGAGTATTAACAGTGTTGCCAACTTTCTAAAATCGCCACTGGTCCAATGAACTGCTCATCGACTGGAGTCTTGAAGAGGCTAGAGGCATCCGCACCTCAACCTAATTTAGAACTCGTGATTTTGGCTAACTAACTCCTGACTCCACGTTCCCCCGCATGGAGTACATAGAGTCGTAATGTGATTGGGAGAGCTGGGGCCACTTTTAAGCATTTTCCAGGTCCCGAATTTTATGACTCCTGTGCGGCGCCGAGTCAGTTTTTCGATACATAATCGATTGTTTGCGATATACGGGGGACCCGACTATCCGATGTAAACAAAGAGGATAGGATTACTACGTATTCCACACCGCCATTCTGGATCGAACATGTATCGAAAAAGTGACCGAAGCTCGGTGCGCACCGGACTCGGAACTCGTCGCCCAGGACATGGTCCCAGCTCTCCCATTCACAGTACGACTTTATATGCTCTACGTTCCCCCGAAAACGTATAAAAAGTTCAAATTTTCTATGAAACACGTATTTTAGCCGAGGAGCTGTAGCGGTTAGAATTAAATCACAGGGCACCATGTCCGCTGCTCTGCGGTGTCCGCACGGCAATGCGAATGTTGGGAGATGAGAGTAGAGCGCAGACCTTGAGGCGCATCCCGCTGGCGCGGGGGGGCGGGAGGCGGCTTGGGGCTCGGGGGGGGGG